GTTGCGTTGATAGCGAAGGTATGCCGCTCAAAATGTTATTCAATCTCTATTTTAAAATCGAGCTCTGGCACCTCTACAAATCCCTGCTTCCCTCTGCGAAGGGCCTATCTATTCACTTTTATGTTGAGTCATCACCCTTCTTATTAAAAGCACCCGCTGGAGAGCACACTGTCATTTGCATTCATTATTATTGGTTTATATTGGGTATGACTTGACTGGATCTCTTTTACCATGAATTACAATGTTTAGTCAGTCCTTGATCTTTAAAGGTGCTCTGCATTTATGTTTTGCGGTCTCAGAAAGGGCTAGCGAGATACCATTTTGTTATATCATGTTATGATTATTTTGAGAAATTGTTGTCATCCGAGTTTTATTATTATGGCTCGCTAGCTGATTATGTTATTGATATGAGTAATTGTGAGACCTATATGTTATTGTGAGTATGGTTAGTTCATAATATTTGCTGAAACTTGAATGCTGGCTTTTCATATTTACAACAACAAGAGCAACTGAGTTTGTAAAAGTTTTTCTTTATCACTTTCAGTTTATCAACTGAATTGCTTGAGGACAAGCAAAGGTTTAAGCTTGGGGGAGTTGATACGTCTCCAACGTATCTACTTTTCCAAACACTTTTGCCCTTGTTTTGGACTCTAACTTGCATGATTTGAATGAAACTAACCCGGACTGACGTTGTTTTCAGCAGAACTGCCATGATGTTGTTTTATGTGTAGAAAAGAAAAGTTCTCGGAATGTCCTGGAAATCCACGGAGGCACTTTTCAGAATTAATAAGAATTTTTGGCGAAAGAATTAAGGCCAGGGGGCCCATAGGCTGTCCACGAGACAGGGGGCGCCCCCCCCCCCCTAGGGCGCGCCCTCCTATCTCGTGGGCCCCTTGGACCTCCTCCGACCTCAACTCCAACTCCATATATTCCGTCTCGGGGAGAAAAAAATCAAGGAGAAAGTTTCATCGTGTTTCACGACACGGAGCCGCTGCCAAGCCCTAATCTCTCTCGGGAGGGCTGATCTGGAGTCCGTTCGGGGCTCCGGAGAGGGGGATTCGTCGCCGTTGTCATCACCAACCATCCTCCATCACCAATTTCATGATGCTCACCGCCGTGTGTGAGTAATTCCATCGTAGGCTTGCTGGACGGTGATGGCTTGGCTGAGATTTACCATGTAATCAACTTAGTTTTGTTAGGGTTTGATCCCTAGTATCCACTATGTTCTGAGATTGATGTTGCTATGACTTTGCTATGCTTAATGCTTGTCACTAGGGCCCGAGTGCCATGATTTCAGATCTGAACCTATTATGTTTTCATGAATATATGTGTGTTCTTGATCCTATCTTGCAAGTCTATAGTCACCTATTATGTGTTATGATCCGACAACCCGAAGTGACAATAATCGGGATACTTCTCGGTGATGACCATAGTTTGAGGAGTTCATGTATTCATTATGTGTTAATGCTTTGTTCCGGTTCTATATTAAAAGGAGGCCTTAATATCCCTTAGTTTTCGTAAGGACCCCGCTGAACACGGGAGGGTAGGACAAAAGATGTCATGCAAATTCTTTTCCATAAGCACGTATGACTATTTACGGAATACATGCCTACATTACATTGATGAATTGGAGCTAGTTCTATATCACCCTATGTTATAACTATTGCATGAGGAATCGCATCCGACATAATTATCCATCACTGATCCATTGCCTACGAGCTTTTCATATATTGTTCTTCGCTTATTTACTTTTCCGTTGCTACTGTTACAACTACTACAAAAACCCCAAAACATTTATCTTTACTTTTGCTACCGTTACCTTTATTATCATACCACTTTTGCTACTAAACACTTTGCTGCAGATACTAAGTTATCCAGGTGTGGTTGAATTGACAACTCAACTACTAATACTCAAGAATATTCTTTGGCTCCCCTTGTGTCGAATCAATAAATTTGGGTTGAATACTCTACCCTCGAAAGCTGTTGCGACCCCCTATACTTGTGGGTTATCACATCTCCATAGCCTATTAATTTGCCTAGTTGGTGTGAGAATTTCTTTCTCCTGTTTATCTACTGCCACCTTCTATTCCACCCATAGTGCTATATCCATGGCTCACGCTCATGTATTGCGTGAAAGTTGAAAAGGCTTTAGAACGTCAAAAGTATGGCACAATTGTTTGGCTTGTCATCCGGGTTGTGCATAGTAAATACTTTGTGTGATGAAGATAGAGCATGATAAGACTATATGATTTTGTAGGGATAACTTTCTTTAGCCATGATATTTGGAAAAGCCATGATTCCTTTATTGGTATGCTTGAAGTATTATTATTTTTATGTCCATATTAAACTTTTTTAGAATCTTATGGACCTGAATATTCATGCCACAATAAGAACGATTACTTGATAAACATGTTAGGTAGCATTCCACATCAAAAATTCTATTTTTATCATTTACCTATTCAAAGACGAGCAGGAATAAGCTTGGGGATGCTTGATACATCTCCAACGTACCTATAATTTTTTATTGTTCCATGCTATTATATTATCCATCTTAAATGTTCTATATGCATTAATATGCTATCTTATATCATTTTTTGGGACTAATCTATTAACCTAGTGCCCAGTGCAACTTGTTGTTTTTTCCTCGTTTTTGTCTTTTACAGAAAATCTATACCAAACGGAGCAAAACTTCTTGAGAATTCTTCTTGGACTACAAGACAACCACGAAGCTTCGGGGGGAGGCCAGAGGAGCCACGAGAGGGCCACAAGCCCTAGGGGCGAGCCCTAGCCCCCCCCCCCCCAAGGCTTGTGGGCCCCTCGGGACTCCCCTAACCCTAATATCAGCTCCATAAATACCCAAATATTCCCCTTACATCAGAGGGCACACCAAAAATACATTTCCGCTGCTGCAAGCTTCTGTTCTCGTGAGATCCCATCTTGGGGCCTTTTCCGGCACTCTGCCGGAGGGGGATTCGATCACGGAGGGCCTCTACACCAACCTTGTTGCCCTTCCAATGATGTGTGAGTAGTTTATCATAGACCTACGGGTCCATAAATAGTAGCTAGATAGCTTCTTCCCTCTCTTTGATCATCGATACAATGTTCTCCTTGATGTTCTTGGAGACATATTCAATGTATTCTTCTTTTGCGGTGCGTTTGTTGAGATCCTATGAATTATGGGTTTATGATAAGATTATCTATGAATATTATTTGAGTCTTCTCTGAAGTCTTTTATGCATGATTAAGATAGCTTTGTATTTCTCTCCGATCTATCGATTTGGTTTGGCCAACTAGATTGGTTTTTCTTGCAAGGGGAGAGGTGCTTTGTGATGGGTTAAATCTTGCGGTGTCCTCACCCCAGTGACAGTAGGGGTAGCGAGACACATATTTGTATTGTTGCCATTAAGATAAAAAGATGGGGTTTTTACCATATTGATTGGATCTATCCCTCTGCATTATGTCATCTTGCTTAAGGCGTTATTCCGTTCTTGTTAACTTAATACACTAGATGCATGCTGGATAGCGGTCGATGTGTGAAGTAATTGTAGTAGATGCAGGCAGGAGTCGGTCTACTTGTCATGGACGTGATGCCTATATTCATGATCATTGCCTTAGATATCGTCATAACTATGCGCGTTTCTATCAATTGCTCAACAGTAATTTGTTTACCCACCGTATGCTTCCTTCAAGAGAGAAGCCTCTAGTGAAACATATGCCCACCGGGGTCTATTTTCTATCATATTATTTTCAGATCTATAAAACCAAAACCCAAAAATACCTTACTTAAATTTATTTATGTTTACTTTATTTTACACTTTTACTTATCTCTTATACCTATCTCTATCAGATCTCACTCTTGCTAGTGACCGTGAAGGGATTGACAACCCCTTTTTCGCGTTGTGTGCAAGTGTTGTTAGTTTGTGCAGGTGCATCTATTGGAGACTTGTGTGTTCCTCCTACTCGATTGATACCTTGGTTCTTAACTCAGAGAAATACATATCTCTACTTTGCTGCATCACCCTTCCTCTTCAAGGAAAAAAATCAACGCAAACTCAAGAAGTAGCAGTTGTCCCCCCCCCCCTCCTCCTCCTCCTCCTTCCCGCCTCCTCCTCCTCATCCTCCGACGGCCTCGGCAAACTCGGAGGAAGGCGGTGGTGAAACGAGTAGCCCGCCTCGCCCGGATCTGCTCCAGTAGCTGCAGCCACCGCTTCGGAGTGAGCATGCCTTAGGTGGTGATTCGGCGCCTCGGCATGGTAGCGGCGGGCAGATTTGAAGTGACGGGGGTGGAGAGGAGAAAGGGGAAATGGGGCTGATAGGGTTCGGATGTCGCTGTCCGGCTTAAATAGTCGACCTCTTCCCACAGGCGGCACGCCGGAGCGGCGCCACGCGGTGTGGAGCGGAGGAGACTCTCGTCAGACAATCGGCCCCAGCGCTCAGAGCCTACGTGGCGGGCGCGTCCGGGTGTCCCATATCCGCCTCATATTTGGCGGCTAGTTCGGGCGTTTGGGCCGACTATGGATAGCCCAGATGGGTGGCTAAATTTTGTTCGGACACCGCGCAACTTGTCCGGGCGTTTGAGGCGGGTATGAGGACTTCGGTTGTAGGTGCTCTAAGCAAACGAAGAAGAGGGGAAAAACAATACGGTAAATACAATAGAACCTACCACTATAATTTTTTTAGGCCATTAATCTCCCATTCTTATATGCCTAGGTGGATGCTCTCCTACTAGTACATGCGTGCACACTATTCTACACACACAAATTATTATTCCCTCTGTCTAAAAAATATAAGGAGTTTTTGAGACTATCATTTTAAGACAGGGGAGTAACAAATTACAATGACACATGCACTCTTAGTTTCAGAAAGAGAACCATAAAATAAAATAACGTGCTCTTACTATTACACGGGCGGCGTATACAGAGGAAACATGTACATATTGACATGGATAAACAAGCCTAGTCTGCATGCAAGATGTATTTTTATAGCCATGCAGGAGCAATCTACAGCAGAAAATTGGGGAGGCCAATCTTCTTCCCCGTCTTCTTGACGTCTTCCTGCACCCTTCTCCGATACTCCCCGAAGGTGAAGGTCCTGTAAGGTGAAGGCTCTTCGCATGCGCCGATGGGCGAGTCGTACGACGGGCAAAGGAAGTATGCCACGGAGTACCTCTCCGTCGTCGCGTTGGTCACCACTTTGTGCTCCACGCTCTTGTATCTGTTGTTGCTCCATGCCTTCATTCAAGATATATAAAACCATATAAAGGGGACATTATGAACCGACATTCTATCAGGAATTTAAAGTAAATACAGTGCATCATATAAAATACGTATACAACTTCCATGATTTTTTTTTTGCATGGCAAATGATAGGTTTTTCTGTTAACTCCCTGATACAAGTTGAACGATGACGAATCTACGGCTGTATAATAATGCCCCATATAGTATATATAGGAAAAATAGTAGGAGTAGCAGTACTATATGTTGCGCTGTGCTGTGCCTGGGTTGCCTAGCAAAAGTTGCGGCGTACCATGTGAGCACCATGGAGTGTACAGGTCTCGCTTTTGTACATGCAATGTTTTGCTGTCCCCTGAATTAGCGGAATCCATAGGCTTTTCCTTAGCGACGGTACACAGTCACAGAGGCACAAGCCCAGCCAGCGCATACAAGTACGCAAGTTGTGGATATGTATGACAGGGCAGCTTCCCCTTTTAGAGCGTCGGGGTACACACCCGGCATAAGTTCATAGGTGCCGCAGTGGTACGTACAAGCCAGGTTTGGACTCATCAAGCTAGTGGAGGCCGGCCCGGCACAGAGCCACCTTCATGAGCTGACAAGTGTGTAGTACTCTACTAGGGAAAGTGTGTGCTATGCTAGGAGTATCGGTTAACATGCATGCATGTGGGTAAGGTATGCATGTACCTGGAAGAGGTCTCCAATGTTGACGATGAGAGCGCCGGGAATGGGCTTGACGGCCACCCACCGGGAGCCCTTCATCAGCTGCAGGCCGCCGACTTGGTCCTGGCAGAGCACGGTGAGGAAGTCGCTGTCCGTGTGCGGCACCAGGCCGAAGGCGTCCGGCGAGAACGGGCACGGCGGGTACCTGTTCAGCCGGAGGAAGCACGTCCTCTCGTCGCACCCTTCCGGGAAGCGTTGGCCGGCGGTGTGTCCCAGGCTCTCGGCCAGGACGCACGCCAGCGTGTTGGCCAGCTTTGACATCGCGTTCGCCACCTCCTGCGTCACATCCCTGCACCGTCCACACACACACAAGCTTTCCTTAAGTTATTTGCTAACTGTACTAGTAGTACTATACTGCTGTTCATTCGCACCGCCAACCCGAAAACGCTTCCTTAATTTTGCCCTATTAAGCAATGACTAACAAGATTAACTAGCTGTTAGCTTCCTTTCCTCTATCAGAACCAAATGAATTTCTAGAGCTAAAAACGAACTTTCAGTTGACATTCGCGTAGGCGTCACGATCGTGTAGGCATTGTTTTCACCACGATTGGGGACGCTCGTGATCTGGATCGTCAGACACCAGATAGATGCATATATAGTTGATTATGAAGTTGATCGAGAAATATTCACCGCACTGATACTTGCTAGAGTTAAAGCATTTTCCACATCAGACACACGCGGATTTGATCTACTTCTTGACTACGCCACAACATTCCGAAGACGATGTTGCTGCACCAGCTTTTTATTGTGACATGATGTTGCTAGACCAGCTTAATCGCTGTAATTAAACACGTCCCTTCTTTTTTACCGGGTCCTTATTCGCCCGCACTACTACTAAATGTCTCGATCATGTTTACCGTGACGGTCCTCACATGATGGGAAAGCTTTCCAATATTATTCCCGGTACATGAGAAGTACCGGCACTTCACTAAAGAAAATAAATCTTAATCAGGATCACGAAGGCACACATGTCGATCGAGCAGCCTAAACACACTCGAGCTAGCTCTACATTAGGAGTGCTAAGCTAGCTTAGCCACTCCCACCGTGACACTGGACGCGTCGATGGACCACACACTGTAGGAGTACATGCGCACGTACCTGATGCTGGTGAGCTCGCCGTAGCTGCAAGGGCTACCGGAGATGCCGGCGAGCGGGACATGGAAGGCCTCGGACCAAGACAGCTGCCTTGGCGACGTGGCGGTCGGGGAGCCCCAGCGGTAGGAGTCGTTGAGAAGGCCGGCCGTGGCCTTGGCCTCGAACGGCAGGCGGAAGAGGCGCACCTGCTCCCGCCGCATCGCCTCCAGGAGCTCCTGCTTGACGCCGTGGTTGACCACCTGGAGGAAGCCCCATTCAGCGGCCGCGGACGCTATCGCCGCCGCGCATGCCGCCCTCTCCTCCGTGCCCCCGCCGCACGCCGTCAGGCACCCAACGTCGATCATCGGGAGCTCGCATTCCGACACGGGCGGGGCCTGGCAGCCAGGCGGCGGCGCCGAGGCGCACTCGTCGGCTTTGTTGCCACCGCGGAGCAGGGCGTAGTAGCTGTCCGCCAGAGGCGGCTCGGCCGTGCTCTCGGCGAAGGCCGGCATGGCTGGCTGGCTCCAAAGCTAAGCTAGCTAGCTACGCGGGAGCTGTGAATAGCTAGCTACGTGCGCACGCAGGCAGCTCGGGATGATCGAAGAGCAAGCTAGCTAGCTGTTCCCGTGTGTGCGTGTGTGTGTGTGTGTCGAGCTTGTTCTTGGATGTCATGTGAGCATGGGCAAGCTGTTTATATAGAAGGCGCGTCCGGCGAGCGGTATGCCGTGGCTTTGGCTCGTGTGTCAGGCCGGGACGCGCACTCGTGGGCAGCAGGACCTGCATGGGTGATGGGTCTGGCTGGCCCGCCCGATCGAGGCGCCGGGGGTTTAAACTTTAAAAGTTCGATCGGCCGGGCTGGTGACAGCGCGGCACAGGACGACACTTGGAGGCGGCAGGGGCGACGCGGGGTGCTCCGCGTTTTTTGACTGCGCCAGCCAGCGACGCTGAGCTGAGCGAGCCGTGCTTGTCAATGCTCATTGGGCGTGCATGGCGATGCGGACGGCTACAATTTTATTAAATCCGTTTTTATATAGTATCTTACGTGCGCGCGCGCGTACGTACT